TTCTTTTACACTCCTCTTCTCTATTTAAATGTTATAAACTCTTCAACAGAACTCGCATTAAATGAGCTTAAATAGATCTCCTTCAATACTTATCTACTGTTTCAATCACAACACAAGCATGATGATTGGTGACTCATGAGCAAATTTAAATAATGTGTGGTCCTCTAATAACAGGTTTCGTTCAACACACAGAGTTTATGTAATTATTATGAAAGCGTCAAAGCTAGCCAATCAAAAATCGTGTTATAGGGAGATCGTGACGTAAGCAGCGCAAGCGCATATCGTCAGGTGAACAACTTAGCAAAGCAGTGAGTCAGGGGACCTATTCTGTGTTTACGTAATTTCTTTACACACTACGTCACGCAAACTATTAGCATTTCTATGCAACTAATAGAAATGTACAAAAAATATTATTTTTTATTAGCAGAGAATGGAATTTGGTGTCCATAGTCATAGTCCCAAGGAAGTATATATTTTATTTTTCTGATAAATAGAAATTGAAAATTATGAACATTATGTTCTACAGATAGTGATTAATATATTTTTATTTAAGGAGAGTCAACGACACTTACTCTAATAAGAACATACTAAAATGTTAATAATGCTTTTCTGCAATGTTCTTCTAGGCTTATGATTGATTTTCATACTAAATAAATTAAGCAAAAGTAAAATTAGAAAAATGCACCTTTTCGCAAGTTTCGTTTTCACCTTCAAACCGAATACAGTAAACGCACTTTATTGTTTGTACTTTATGTGTTATAATTTTAGATCTTTTAATCCATGGAAACAATGAAGAATAGAATTAAAATAAACGCTCTTTAAGAATAGGCGCCCCTTACGAGGTAAACCACACAAATTCAGCAATGGATAGATGGCGTGATTAATATTGTAAGAGGTATCTATCTATTTGGCCTTGTGCTGATAAATGCCGGCGGATAAATTAGACGGTGTAAACTGCAATTTATTCGCCTCGTTAAACTTTTAATTCTGCTAGAAAAAGATTGGTTCTCTTATACGTGTGTTTTCAATATTTAAATACATTATCTTTTTGTTTTTAATCGAAAATAATACTGGTCGTGGCGATACCTATCGTTAAAATAAACAAATATAATAAATTAATAAATATTTCCAACACTCACATCAATAAGCCTAGCGCCAAAGTAAGCACTGTGCCCAAAGGTAGCCCCAAAGTCTTGTCTAATGGTATACTAGGGTAACGGATAGGATACATATACTGTACATACATAAATATATGTATTTGTATAGAAATACATATTAAACATCCATAACTGCAGTACAAATGCTCGTATTCATCACATAAACATCTGCCCCCACCGGGATTCGAACCCGGGGCCTCTCGAGTCGGCGACACCATAAAACTCGGCGCATAAACCACTCGGCTACGGAGGTCGTCGATCGTTACTAGGGCGATCTCACAACCTCACCCTCTCAACCACAGACCTAGGTTGAAGTAGGCGCCGCATGTACTTTAAATTGTATGGAAACCGAGCGTGTCAGATTTTGGGTACTCACGAGAACAAATTGGTGGTGAAAAAGCATGGGATCTCCGGTCACGATCTATTTCAATTATATCGTTTTTACAGCTTAATATGACACAGTTAGAAGTTTTTTAAACATTAGGATTTACGTCCGGTATCGAGAACTGGATAGAAGCTCGGTGGTGCAAGTGGTTAACGCGTTCGGCTGCGATCGTTGAAGCTAAGCAACTTTCGCAGTGGTCGGTCATTGGATGGGTGATCAAAAATTTACTATCTCGAGCTCCTCCGTGCTTCGGAAGGCACGTTAAGGCGATGGTCCCGGCTGCATATGCAGTCGTTAGCACCCGCCAATCCGCACTAGGCCCGCGTGGTGGGTCATGGCCCAATCTTCCTATTCCATCCATAAGGAAGGCCAGTGCCCCAGCAGTGGGGACATTAATAGGCTGATATCGAGAACTGTAAAGTAACTCGAGTTATAGTATATACTTGGGTAATAGTTATGATAGCTCAAATTACTTTACGTGGAACGTGTGATCATTTGATAGTGATAAAAACTTTTTGCTCCTAAGTGCTCTGAAGCGCGTAATGGCTTGTGTAACAATAAAATAAAACAGAATAGTTTTGCTCACGTTACGTCTACGAAAATGTATCCCGGTATTCGGCAATATATATTGAAAAGTACCTATGTGCAACGCCTAGCTGTCCTGCCACTGTTAACTCGGCTCCGTATTGAAATGCAATGAATATTCTTTACGGGAAAGCGTAAAATAAACCTGTTTTTATTACAACCAATTGCAGCGCCATCTATTGGGAGGAAATTGTAAGAAAGGTTACGTTGGGTAGTTTTCTGCGAAATTTTCCGTACGAACTATCTACAAATTATTAGATAACTAAAAAAAACTTAAAACGATAAGTTTATGGAGTAATAGCATGCCTAAGGGAAATGGGAATCCATTCTTATAGAATTAGAGTTTTAGGAGCACGTGACTACCCCATACAAACTCCTTCCAAGTTAGGAAAAATGAGTGCAAAAAATCTTCAATCAAGTAGTTAAAAAACTGTCACTTTAATTTGATAGCAGTTGTATCAAGGCTTTATTATTTATTTTTAAAAACTGACATGCCTCCTACCTACATAAACACATTAAAAATGTGATCCAAGAGCCGAAAAAATAAATAAAAACAAAATAAGAGCGAAATAAGATACTTTTAAGAAAAAAAACAAAGCCAAATATTTTGAAATCTGTTAACTTTTGGACTTTAGGTCTGACTTGGAACATACTTTTCTATGGTAGAGAATAACACGTTTTTATACTTAAAGGTGCTATTTTGAGGAGGATTTGCTTATTAGCAGCGATCGTAGGAGGCATTTGAATAACATGACACCGTGCAGAAAATTGTTTCCATATTTTTCTTTTATCGGAGTTGCTTTTTCACAAAGTAAAGTTTATGTTACAAGTAACATTGTCTAATTCGTATGATACAATGTAGTGTTGGCCATCAAATATAAATATAAACAAATGAAAAACAAAATCATACGAAAGTTAATATCAACAATATTGGATTCTTAATCAAATATGGACTGCGCTTCACAAAATCCAATATTACATTTCAGTAAGATCAATATTTAATCGAATATCGAAAAAATATGTCAAAGAGTGGTTCTGACAATGTAAATCGAGACATGACATTTAAAATACGCACGAAATTTTGAATATTGCTTTTTTATGTTAATGGGTGGCAAACAAGCGTATGACCCGCCTGATGGTAAGCGACCACCATAGCACATTAGATACTTGCTATACCAAAAATATCACTGGCACCATTGCCTACCCTGACCCAATCCTCTACCCCGCGATGCCCTGGAACCTTACTTACCATCGGAAACACAACACCGCCAAAAGGTAGTGTTTATTTTACTGTGATCTGTAAGGATGTTACTTCCCCAGACGGGCTTACCAATTCCAGCTATGCCCTACCTCTCGCTGCTCCACAACTATTGATGAAAATTGTACGCACAGTCCTATAATATGACGTAGTTTCACTGACAATATTTTATCAGTCAACCATTCAACCTCATATAAAATGAATGGAATAGCGTACGCCTCGAATAAACTTTATTATCTACTCCCCGAAGTCACTTCTCCACTTAATATCCACTTGAAATGTAGCTTGTAACAAAGGTACAAAGGTCTAATTTCAAATGGTGCAGCGGACTAGACCAGAAATACATCCACTTCAAGCTATTAGTAACAGCTATTGGGAACTTCAAAAGCTCTTGCTGTTTGTTTGTATTATTGGAGCGATCCTTTTCTTGTTGTGCCTTTAGGACTGTCGTAAATCTATCCGGCTTTGTATCAGTTGATTATCCAAAATAAACGAAGTTTTCAGAGTCCAAAAATACCGTTTTCAGTCTAATGTGTTTAACCAACACTGTCACTACATAGGATAACGTAAATTATGTCACATCTTAACGTACGAAAACTAAACGATCACACGATTTATTTAGAGTTAACAAGTGCCAACCGACTTTCATCCACGTTTTATCTGCTAGTACTGATAGCGTAGCTTTTTATTTGGCTAGACGATCGGTCAATACTATCAAAACCGAACTAACCATAACTAAGATAGAACGCATTTTAAATTCATGTACTAATGGACTGTTATTGATATTGCTGTTGAATGGAAAACGAACATAAATTGCAGTCAAATAATCTATAATCAATTCGAACTCATAATGTGTATTTAAAATAATCGTTTAGTTTCTAAAGGAGGGTTAAAGGAATTAAAAGGATAATGATTCAACTCATATCTGCTGGTTTCTCTCAATAAATTTATCAATGACTTTTCCGACTGTAATTTGTATTCCTACACGTAAATGAAGAATCGATAAACAACGATCAGATGATTGCTGGCACCCGTATTGTTTATGTGTATTTTTTTAAGTCTGTATTTATCTGTACATTTGAATATCACCGTTTCTATTATAGCCTGTTCATTCCAATACCAAAAGTTAACGTATCACTTACTCCATTATTAAGAAGATTAAGCTTGAATTAGTTGCTCTATCTATAATTTGTCTCTCATCTGTTCTCTGTTCATCGAATTACAAATGGCAACTGTGTGAAAACATGGTGTATCTATAGCTACATGTCACAGCAGCATTATGCTGAGGCAGGGTCTTTTTTTACCAATATTATAACTTTGTTAGGTTTATTAATGTTTGTGTTTCTTACTTTTTATATATATTTTTATTTCAGCTGTTTGTAATTATATGCTTGTGTTTTTATTGGTCAATAAAATGGTTGTCTCTGTCTGTGTATCTAGTCTAAGCCTATTCCTCGTTTATTATTAAGAGGATTAAAGTTTTTTTTAAATATTAATGTCCGATAAATGACTGCACCCCGACAGTTGTGAAGTGTCGGTGGAGTCAAGATGCGAAGATAAGAAATAGATATAGCGTAGAGAATGTTTTCTTATTTTGTCCTTCCATTGTCCACAGGTCTTAGCGGTTCGAAAGCGGACCTACAACACAGGCGAGAAGTGTTCGGCTCGAACCTGATCCCTCCGAAGCCCCCCAAGACCTTCCTCACGCTGGTCTGGGAGGCGTTGCAAGACGTCACCCTCATCATCCTAGAAGTGGCCGCCGTGGTCTCATTAGGGTTGAGTTTCTACAAGCCACCGGAAGATCCGACCGACTCTGGTGAGATTTCAACTATTTTCGTTCACATCTGTTTGAGATGACAGGAATTATATTTCCTTTTGTTTACTCAGTAAATTTTGTCAAAGTCTTTCTCTATTTTTTTTAATCCATTTTAATGTTAATGTATATATTGGTTACTTTCAACATTGTCGAGACCCAAGCTGCTGTTCTGTGTTGTGCTCCAGAATAAATGGAAATTTTCAATATAATATGTATCAATATGAACATTTCCCGTCACTCTAACCAAAAGCATTTTATTGATCACTTGTTAAATAGTGTTATGTTACTGTGATTGGTTTTCTAAATTTGTTGTGTATCAGCAATACACTTACTGTGATTTTGTCTCATATTTTTTTAACGTTGCTATTTTTAGAGTATTGGCAATAAAATTGAATTGCCGCACTATTCAAAGCGAAATACCAACGCATCTGAATTTTTTATGGGATCTCTCATTCTGAATTATTCAACCCTAGGCTTTTGATGTTGTTCCCTTGCATTTCGTGTGTGCTGCTCACGTTCCGTGATCGATATCTAACCGAATTACGTCGGGTATGATTTTGTAAACCTTTTCAATTCCCACATAACTAATCCATCCCAGCCATCAATATGATATGTTACAAAGGTTACATTAGGTCTAGTTTACAAAATCAAACCCTTAAAATATCAACAATCATCAGCGGTAAGTACATTAGTCATTTGATTAATTCAGAATGGAGTAAGAAGTCTAAAACTTTTATTATATTGTATAATATTACACACATAGCTTCACACACTTGTCGATATAAATGTTTCCAATTGACTCATTGGCATTGCATCAAAATTTATTTCAAAAATTATCTAGCACTTCATTATTATCGTTAAAGTTACTGCTAATCAAATTAGCTATATAGATTTAGCTATAGTTTTATTCAGGTGTCCAGTGTTATCTATGCGCAAAGGGGCGGTCGATATCAATGGAATATAATAATTAATCAATGTATTTTCTCTTTTCTATAACGATATGGAATCATTAGACGATCCTGGTAAGAATATGTAAATAATAATAATTACTATTATGACACTCATGTTCGTTTTCCTAGCATCAGTACTCAAGATTAAATGCAAACAAACGCATTTTTACTTCGAAATAGTTTTGAATTGTAATGCAACTAAATCGATTATGATTGTCGTAGCTACTTTGACTTGGTTTGAATATGAATTACAGTGTCCACACCATGGTTATTTGTAAATGATTGATAATAACATACCCAAAAAGGGTTACACTAAAAAATTTAGGGACCTTTGGATGATTTTTAATGCTACGACAAAGACCATGGTGTTTTGGCATTCCTTTTTGTAATATTGATTTAGTTGCGAAATAACCTTGAGTACAGTAGTTTATGCACCCCAAGTACCCCGACGTCCCAATGTTTGTTATTATCATAGGTTTGTTTGTCCGTCCGCTTGTGTGCTATCTATAAGTCACTAATGTTTGATTGTCCTTCGAAATTTGGTATTCATACCACCAAATTGTTTGATAATGATGGCACTATGTATAAGCAACATTATATTGGACATGAATTCACCAACACCATTGAACTGGATAGATTACAATCAGATATTAGGTGTTCGTATTCATTGGGCTGGACTTAACGTTAGCGCAGAGCAATCGATCAGCTAGATGGAGTATTTAAATTCGATATTCACATTTTAGTTTTATATCTTAACCTTTTCATTTAGCATATTATTGGTTTTGCTTGAATTTTTAAAGCGCTTTCAACGAGTACTTTAAATGTTGGTTGCTGGCTAAATGGGCATTCCTGGTAATTAAATCTTCTATGCTGATGAAGGCGCCATTACTGCGAAAAGCTTTTAATATTTAGCAGTTAATGAATCGTGTTACTTCACAGATTAGATTCATTGCGGTGGTGGCTATCCGAGAGGGTTCAATTATAACTAAACCACTAAGGTCAGCTGCCGCCTGTGACAATTAACCAATTAATTTAGTCATGCGGGAAATGATATTGGAACGTTTATATTCAACACACCATTAGTCGGAAATCTGTTTGTCGATATCGTCGTTTCAACTGCTGTGCCGTCTACCTCATGCAAAAGTTCACGTATCTCATATCGTATAATTTGTGGGAATTTCATACAACTAGTAGGAATTAACACCTTTCGATAGTTCTGAATTTTTAAACATTTTACTTTAATAGTATATGATTAGTTTTATAGTTAATTAGCGCAAATGTCTAATGAGAATAAAATAAGAAAAATACAATTTGATTATTTTAGGGATATGTTGTGATTTAAAATTTATATGCATGTTGGATGACTGTTCCGGATGTAATTATCAGTAGTAGGCACATCCTGTTAAATATCGCATTTATTTTTATAGCAACATGAAAATTTAATCTGTAGTGTTCATCCAGCTTAGAATTTTCAAACGATTAAATAATTATACTGAGAAGCGCATGATCGTTCATATTAATTCGTTTTTTTGTTATAAGTGTTGATATCACAGTAATAACTAAAGCACTTATCACTATTTTATATAAAATTGTTTTTCTGTTGTGTGCAGGTCAAACTTTTTTAACGTGGTTGCTATCAGATTTTTAATATGTATTATCATCTACGGATAGATAAGTTGCATGCCTGATACCGAAATCGCAGATATACATAAAAACATCCGAAGTGAGCTAAAATTAATACTACCAAAAACGTAGATGACACATTTTCAATTAGTACCAACATTTTATTTATAAAAATGATATAGATAAAATGAGTTCAATTATATTTTTCTTGTAATAGCAGCGAGCCTCCATTATTTGCTTACTTTTCTAGTCCATTTTTTTTTCAATAACCGTTCCCAATACACTATCTAAAGTAAGTTCTTATCCAAGTTCATTCTAAGTCAAACTTTATACTTTGATGCAAAATATATACTCTTCTGAATCAATGCTATGTCACCAAAAATATCTCAGTAATAAACTTTTATAAACATATGCTTTTACTTAAGATAAGAGTTTGGTAACGGCGTTTTTAAAATGTTCATTTCTGTTTGTGGATTCATTATTATCAACGCTTGAGCTTCTACCATAGGACTATTTATTCACATCATATTTCCAACTCATGGGTTTCTTTCAGTATTCTTCTTCGGTGTTTGTTTAATGTGTCCGTACGTTTTCCAGCACATCTGGACGAGGAGGAAGGCCACTACCAATGGATCGAAGGTCTGGCGATCTTAATTTCCGTCATAGTCGTCGTTATAGTTACAGCATTCAACGATTACACGAAAGAAAGACAATTCAGGTTTGTTGAAATGTTATCTCAACCATTAAGAAAATCACAAAGTCAAAAGTCACTTTGTAATAGGGATGCTGACCGGCTAAAGTAAACGAAATTCTATTAGGTTCGTCAGTTAGATTATAAAAATTATGGATGCTCATTTTTTCTTCTCTCAATCATCAAAGAAAAATTACAAAAATAAAGCGCGTCAAAGTTTTAGATCGGATATTCGTGACGTCACTTCTAAGTTAAAACTATCAAGACGTGACGTCATGCGACATTGCAAATCAATATATCTCTAATGTTTTGATTTTTGTTTTGTGTGTATAAAGAAAAAATACGTGTCTAATACTTTTTGATAATCTACCTGATAGATGAAGAAATAAAGTTAGATCCCTATTAAAGAAAATGTAATGTGTTTTTGTGATTTTTATGATTTAAATGGTTCCAAGCAATATATTGTTGATAATATTAAAAAATAGCCATACGAAACTTTTCTTCTTGAGCTTGATGATTTGTGAGTGTTCGTTGTTTGAATATAGCTAATTATTAATACCTTCCGAAGTCTACTCATAGTCTAAAGCCCACTATCACAAAATTATCGATATAAAAATAAAAATTAAATCATTTTTAAACCTATTCACACAGTCTAAGGTCCACTTGAAGCAATTTTGCTAAATCTCAATTTGACTTAATAATGTTATAGCTCATACAGAAATATCAAAGTAACATTGACGTTTTTACATTTTTCTATGGGATATATTTAGTTTTAGTGGATTTAGCAAATTTGCTGGAAGAAGGCCTTAGACCCACTTGTGTCAATTTCCTTAATCAAATTAAAAACAGGTTAAACATTTACATCATGGTTACATTGCCTTCATTTCTTATGAATTAAAAAAAAATACAAGAATGGGAATCAAGATTCAATTTAAATTAAGATTGTTCGTGCTAGTGGCTGTAAAATGAGTTTCACGTTAACTGTCTAACAACTGCACGAAGATTTTGACTGAGTATAAAATTTGAGACTGAAAAACAACAAAGTTCAAAGACTTACTTACAGTTTGGAACTTGAATTTAGTAATATGGTGGTGATGTGACATTCCAGAGGTCTATAGTCCCGGATAGAGGACGAGCACATGTCTTTTTTTTACGTTAGGGGCCGTCCATTTATCACGTGAGGTTTTATTTGGCGTTTTTTAACCCCACCTGCCCCTTGGTGATACATGGTGTGGTTTAAGACTACACCCCCCCCCACCACCCCCATATGACTCGTATTTTTAGTATATTATTATTTTGTTTAAAATATTTATAAAATACAGGTATAAAGTATCAAGGTTGTTCTTTGTTTTTGACTGACATAAAAATAATGAACACGAAATGCGAAATACTTATACATGAACATTATTTAATGTACCTACAGTATCCTCGGACCACGGAAATACACGTGATATGTTACTAAAGACCCAAGCCCCCCTCCCCCTTGTGATATTTCGTGTTTTTTTATGGACTCCTTCCCCATCCCCTTTCAAGCCTCACGTGATTAATGGACAGCCCCTTAAAAGAGTGGTAAACAGGCGTATGGCCCGCCTGATGGTAAGCGGTCACCATAGCCTATTGACGCTTGCGTTACAAGAAATATCACTCGCACCATTGCCTACCCTGACCCGATCTCCTACCCCGTGGAGCCCTGGAACCTTCCTCACCCACAGAAACACACCACCATCAAAAAACGAGTGTGCTCATGACCACACGACTGAAGTGAAACTTCTATAGCTCCATCTGCATACTTATATATGTGTACAATATACACATGTATGTACATATACATATTTCATTTACTAGCTATAAGAGACTGAGAGAAAGAAAATGTGCGCGCATACAGCCCCCACTCAACTCCCGTTCGCCTCGCCCGAATACACTGTTCGTAACGCATTCGCCAGCTTACCCCCCAAGTCAAGCGTGCGTAAAGAAGTTCCACTTCAAAAGTAGTGTTATTTTACTGTGATCATCTGTAAGTTGGAGGAGGTTACCTCAAATATGAAGGTTTAAATTTAGTAATACAGTGGTAATGTGGCATTCCAGAGGTCTACAGTCCCGGATAGAGGGCGAGCACAAGTTCGCCGTGATGCGGGGCACCGAGGTGAAGCAGATCCCCATCAGCGAGTTAGTCGTCGGGGACATATGCCAGATAAAGTATGGCGACCTGCTGCCCGCCGACGGGTTACTGTTGCAGAGCAACGACCTCAAGGTGACGTATTAAATCTATCTATATGAAAATATGGAAAATATTAATTCTGTAACCAAATTGCATTATCATCATCAGCCTATTAATATCCCCTATAAGGCTATAGGCTATATAACACACAGAACGCAGAAAGATGTTAGAAGGGTGGATCATAGACCGTTTGTACGGGAACCAATGTAGACGGCTCGTGCCCAATACACTTCTATCTAATAGATAATAGCCAAACAATCGAACCAATCAGCGCGCACACCCGAGAGCAACGACGCAATCAGAACCGAGTTTTGGTCAAGTTATGAGCATTTTCTCATACATAACTGTGGCGCGCCTGCCCCGCCCACAAGGCCCTTCTTAGCTTCTTTCTGTGTTCTGTGATATAACATCACGCTACGGCCAATAATAATAGGAGCGGAGCAATGGTGAAAAATGTTGCAAAAACCGGGGAGAATATTCCATTTGAGAGCTTCCGTTGCGTGCGCTGCGTGAAACGGTTCAAGTAACACAAAAATCATTTATAACGGAATGTACCTTTAAAAGTTCTATAAAAAAAGTCCCAGTCTTCCTATAAAAGTGAGCAGCCCTAACAGCCTTAACAGGTTTTCACAACAACAGTGGCAATATACCGGCGATGGGTGTTTATATAATCTTTGACGGGCGGCAATAATTTCTATATTTGCCGCTTATCAGATTTGTAAATGGCGCGTGCGTCATCAGATAGGCCGCCGACATCGGCAGATAGCGCAGTTTATTGGGTTATCCTGTATCGACAGGTATTGTGCTAACACGACCACTCCTGCCATCTAATAGATTTTATAGGGTTGCAACACCTTGTTTGGTTGTTTTTTTTTCAACATCATCATCAGTATTATGTTATGTATCTCTATTTTGAGGGGCTCGATTGTGTTAGCTCAAGTGGTTATCGCGTTCGGCTGCAATCGTTGAAGTTAAGCAAATTTCGCAATGGTCGGTCATTGGATGGGTGACCAAATATTTTCTATCTCGAGCTCCTCCGTGCTTCGGAAGGCGCGTTAAGCCGCAGTCGCATCTGCAGTCGTTAGCACTCGCCAATCAACACTTAGCCCGATCTCAATCTCCATATTCCATTCATAGGGAAGGCCTGTGCCCCAGCAGTGGGGACATTAATAGGCTGCTGATGATGATCAGTCCCTTTTTGTTTGCGTTTGTCTATCGTAGCTGTTAACGAGAACGTGGTGACGGCGCCGACGTAGCGACACATATATTTACTATAGCTGCCCACCGCAAGGCCGTCACGTCATTTAGATCACATACAGAAATAATGTCGCTATCGGTGACTGTCACGCAGACCCGTCTTTCCCAGTGGGCACTTTGGGCAAGTGCCCAGGGCCCCGCGATCGATAGGGAAATCACCAAACGGAAATCATAGGGGCCCCATTATCCTAATATGCCCAGGGCCTCCAATAGGTCAAAGACGGCACTGCTGTCACGTGACGGGAGCGTCGAACAAACGGCCTAGGATGGCATAGGGAAATCGGCCAGGACCCACCAAATGAGTCTAGTATGGCTTGGAGGGTGCAGATGCAGACAAAACGTGTCTTCCGAAGAACGGAGGAGCTCGAGATAATAAATTTTTGGTCATCCATCCAGCAATCTTTACAGGCTGCTTGTTTCTATTGCCGCAATGTTGAAACACAAAATTAATTTGGGACCGTCACCCAAAGCACGAATTTTGACAGATCAGTAATCGTATCGCAATGTCAAAGTTTCTATGGAAATTAAGCAGTACCCCTTCCGGGCTTAAAAACAAACTGGCTTTTTAAATATTTATTTATTAGGTTTTCACGCACATCACTCATTAAATAAAAGTTGTTTTAACGGGTTATTGCACGAACTTTATTTATTTATTGACGTTTCGTTTTTCAGGTCTGCATCGGCAGAATAATGATTTTTTTATTTGCTTTGTCGAGCTACCTTCGAAAGACTTTTGAAACGAAAAATAAATAAAGTTCGTGCATTAACTCGTTAAAACTAGTTTTATTTGGCTTTTTAAAGTGAAACTTCTTTACGTACGCTTGCCTTAGGGAGTAAGCAGGCGAATGCGTTACGTGTTACGAATAGTGTGTCCGGGCGCATATTGCACTCGCAAACTATTCGAATTCTATTAAAAAATACGTCAAATGTGTACTGATTTTTAGATCTTGTAACATCCGTTGTGGCGCTGCTGTTCAAGTTTCCATACAAAATTTGCCATTGACATTTCGCACTCACAAACTATTCGAATTCGATATTGCTTGGTAATTTAATTTGGTAGTTGGTACCCGTGCTAAGGGTACCACAAAAAATTTCATAAAGCCCTTCTATGGTAGGGAACCGTTTATTTGCAAATGCAGCACGAGCTTGGCAGTTTTGTTATCATTTAAGAAATACTTTCCTTCTTACAGCAAACATAATGTCTGATAAACCTAGTTATTTTGTCCCCTTTATTTGTTGACGTACCTGTTAGTGTGTAAAGGTACCTAGTGTGAAGATAAGATTAAGTTAGGTCTGTCTCTCTAACTGTCCTTGTCGGCTTTATGATAAATATTATGTCAACAACAGGAATGTACTAGAAGTATGCATTTTAAAAAATATGAGAGAGGTTTGCGATCGTGGAAGTTAAGGAAGTTTCGCAATGGCTCACGTCACAGAACAAAGAAAGAGGTTAGAAGGGCCTTGGGGGCGGGGCAGACGCGCCACAGTTAAAGTGTGTGAGCAAATGCTCATAACTTAACCAAATCTTGGTTCTGATTGCGCCGTTGCTTGCGGGTGTAAGCGCTGATTTGTTCGATTGTTTGATGTCGCGGCGTTTGATTGGCTATTATCTATTAGGTGGAAGTGTAGTGGGGACAAGCCGGCGGCATCGGTTCCGGTACAAACGGTTTATGATCACCATGCTAACCTCTTTCTGTGTTCTGTGGTCCGCGTTGTGTTTAATGGTTCTCTATTCCATCCATAGGGAAGGCCCGTGCCCCAGTAATGGGGACGCTAATGAATAAATATTTCTTACACTCGCACTAATAAGCCTAGCCCCAAAATAACCATTGTAATGCTTGGGTTATGGGATATTAGGGCAAGTAAACGAATAGAAATACATTTACATATTAACGTTTATGACTTAGGCATGGGTCAATAGGATCCTATGATATCCATACTATCTACAGAGGCGTAGATCCTTTGATGATAACTGGGTTAAATAAATGAAGTTCTATTTGTTCGTCAATTAGATTGTTATCAAGAAATAATGGACACTTTTTTGGCAATTAACCAATAAATTACAAAGATAAAACGCGTCAAAGTGGGGGCTCGTGACGTTACTTCTAAGTAAAAATTGTACCAAGACGTTACGTCATGCGACATTTCAAATCGATATATCTATGTTTTCTTCTTCACGCTAGACCTTTTCCCCATTTACTTGGGATCGGCCTTTACTGTCCATTTCGTCGATTGTGCACGATTTTGAAATCGATATATCTATGTTATGGTAGTTTAAGCGAATAACGAAAAAATACGCGTCCAATATTTCTTGAAAATCTACCTGACGAACGAAGAAAAAAAGTTTTTCCCACCGAGATTCGAGCTCAGGACTTCTAATTAGGCGACACCTTATACACCTTTTGGCGACCTCCATGGCCGAGTGGTATGTATGCCGGGTTTCATGGTGTCGCCTACTCTAGAGGTCCCGAGTTCGAATCCCGGTGGGGCCAGATGTTTGTGTGATGAACACGAGCATTTGCACTCCATTTATGGATGTTTAATATGTATTTCTATAGTAATATTTTTATATATCTACAGTATATGTATTCTATCCATTACCCTAGTATTCCACAACACAAGCCAGTGTATACAGTGCATACTTTGAGGCTAGATAAATTGGTGTGAGTGTTGGAAATATTTATTTATCTTAATAGGCTTATTGTGGTGAAATCATACTGATTTAATTAATAGTGATATGTTTTATGTTTACAGATCGACGAGTCTTCGTTGACAGGCGAATCGGACCATGTCAAAAAGGGTGAAAGTTTTGATCCCATGGTGCTATCCGGTACTCACGTTATGGAAGGTTGGTATTTTAAGTATTTTACCTTCATCATCATCATCTGCCTATTAATGTAGGGGCCCCACTGCTGGGGCACAGGCCTACCCGGTGGATGGAATAGGGAGATTGGGCCATGACCCACCACGCGGGCCCAGTGCGGATTGGTGGATGCTAACGACTGCAGATGCAGCCGGGACCAACTGCTTAACGTGCCTTCCGAATCACGGAGGAGCTCGAGATAGTAATATTTGGTCACCCATCCAATGACCGACCACTGCGAAAGTTGCTTAAGTTCAACGATCGCAGCCGAACGCGCTAACCACTTGCGCCATCGAGCTCCTCATTTTACCTAGCAGTATCAAAATTCCAGATAAATCACTACAAAATACATGATCTTTATACGATTTTTGATCCTTCTAAAATGGTACATTTTAGTACTGTGTTGTGATATATCGGTTTCTCAAAAATCGTATATGATCATGGCCCATTCTTCCTCAGATTACAGAACAAAAGGCAAATGGAACGCACGGAACACGCAGATATCAAAGCAAATACGAAGTCAAAAATAAAGACTTTTTATGGTCTTTATGAACAGTGTTTTTAATGTTTGAACAAGGCGGCACAGTTTTGATGAAAACTTAATATTCACGGGACGTATTCCCAACACGATGCGTTGAAGTGTACTGACACGTGTTAATATTCGCTTTTGACTTGATATTCGCTTTGGTGGCACGCAATCTGTGTACCGTGCTCTCTCTCTGCCTTTGGTTCTGTAATCTGAGCATTCTTCATTTATGTCAACCATAGGGAAAGCTGTACTCCAGCAGTGGAGACATTAAGGAGGAAGGAAGTAAGAAATAAATAGACTGATTAACGAAACAATTAAAGTTATTTCACCTACCCTTGAAATCTTTAGGAAAAACCTGCTATGTCCACAAAATAAACGTTTGCTACCAAAAAAACCTGCTACGTCATAAAAACCGTTACAACTTAATGAATATCAAATGCTACTATATTATTAGATGCTAATAATGTAGAATATCCAATAATACAACCAACGGTATTTTTGGTTTTAATCTTAAATTGTTAAAATCAAATTTATTAAGTTTTATTTTATTCCGGTAAATTTGTGTCAAAGTGAATATAGCAGGTTTACACTCTTAGCCGACGATATTATAAAACTAATGATTTGACGACCTCCGTGGCCGAGTGGTTTGTACGGCGGATTTCATGGTGTCGCCGACTCGAGAGGTCCCAGGTTCAAATCCCTGTAGGGGCTGATGATTGTGTGATGAATACGAGCATTTGTAATCCAGTCATGGATGTTTAATATGTATTTCAATAAAAATATAGTTATATATGTACAGTATATGCATTCTATCCGTTACCCTAGTATACCATAACACAAGCCTTATAGTGCTTACTTTGGGGGTAGGCTAACTGGTATGTATAAATAAAAAAAAACATCAGCCTATTAATGTCCCCAGTTCTGGGGCACAGGTCATCCTTATAGACCGAATACGGAGATTAGGCCTTTGCCCATTACGTTTGCCCAGAGCGAATTTGGGGATGTTAACGATTACATAATATCGGGACGATCGGCTTAAAGCGCCTTTCGAAGTTGCTCGAGATAATGAATATATGGTCACCCATCCAACGACCGACCATTGCGAAAGTTGCTTAACTTCCACGATCGCTAGCTGAACACGCTAACCACTCGCGCCATCGCATCGCAAAGCTGTTGAACGAGAAAACTTGAATAGTTATTTTTAGCAGTTAACTTCTAGATGTTTAAATGTAATGAAAATGTTACTAGAAAATGTTCCACGTGGCCAGGCAGCAGACGGGACTCGAACCCGCACCCTCCGCTATCCGGGCGGATCTAATAAAATTTTCTTTACATTGAAACTAGAATAAATTTTATTTTAATTTCATTATCATTCCATTCCAGGTTCCGGCAAAATGCTAGTGACTGCGGTCGGTGTGAACTCCCAAGCCGGCATCATATTCACTTTACTCGGCGCCGCCGTAGAGAAGCAGGACAAGGAGATCAAGCAGATGAAGAAAGGTCAGTGAACTGTGCCCTGTCAGCTGTTACAGCATTGTAGTTAGACACCCTACTACCCTGTTAGTGCGAGGGCGTTTTCTGATAGAGTCCAAGTTTGAAAGTGATTTGAGAAATTTCTGATAGTCGAAGTTTATAAAAGTTAACTAAAACCCTTTTTCTACTGGTTCAAAATGCGTTTTATAATGCTTTGAGATCAAGCGGATGAAGAAAGGTCACTGAACTGTGCCCTGTCAGCTGTTACAGCCCTGTAGTTGGATACTCTACTACCCTGCTAGTGCGACAGCAATTTCTGATAGTCCAAGTTTGCTCGGTTAAAACGAGGTAAATTAAATAGAAAGTAATGAAAGTTACTTTATGTTATGATTGAATCAGTTCATTCACTTTTGTTGGTAAAAACGAGGCAAATTAAGTCGAAAGTGGTTTAAGATATTTCTGACAGTCAAAGTTCCTAAAGGTTTCAGCAAACCGCATAATAATTTTATCAAGTAACTTAAACTTAGTTATAATAAAAGTAGTTTGAGACATGTAAATTGACTCTAAAATCGTGATAAACCAAATTTAAAGTAGTTTAAAACAATGCTTTTTGTAGAAAACAAAACTGAAGGTGATACGTTAACTTAACAAAATGTAAGTAGTTTATTAACTCTTTTTTTCTGGTAGGCTAAGGTCATATGTCGTCGGTCGTTAGAAAATGACAAACTAGTTTATTGGTAGAATTATAGTAACTTACAAAGCAAACCAATTAAAAAAAAGGAAACAAAAATTACTTTGGTCATTGTTATTTTTTCTAGAAAAAAATGTAGTTTCTACTTAAACTTTCCTTAGCAAATAAACTCATTTTCTGATAATGTAAATTCATATATGGTTGTTGCTTGTCGACAAAAGATGATAAACCAATAAAGTAGTTTGGGGCATTGTTTTTTGTTGAAAACAAACATTGAATATAAAACGTGTGAACTAACCGAAATATAGTGAATAAAATAAACTCATATTTTTTCATCATTATAGAAATAAACTGAGAAAGACACTATTTTTAGGTATATTTTATAAAGTAATTATTTACTGTATTGTTGCAAATCTATCGATAGATTCCTTATTAGTTTTATTGACTGTATCTAAAGAAATATGGATTTGATTTAAACAATATCACTCATGCTGCTAAAAGCTTAGTTTCACAATTTTATATTTTTTCATTGTTATGTAATAATGATGTATGTTATCCATCGATCAAGATGTACTATAAAGATAAAGCGATACGTTTAAATCATTATCAAATCAATTTAATCAAATATTTACTATTATCTAGAGACATCTAATATAATAAATGAAAATACTTGCGTCAAAGGACGTCCTTTGACGCATACGTTTACTTGTATACTTATTGAAAAAAAATACTGATAACATCATTGACATAAGAGAAATATTTAAAGAACAATTCATTAGTTCCTTAATATATTAGAGCTATATTTAAAGATAAATTTAAGGCGTTGTCCGTCGAATGTAGCTAGTCAAAAATAATTAAAAAAACCATACTCTGGACAACGCTTCCTGAAAAGGATGCTAAACGTCAAGTAAAACTGTATTAAAAACGCATTTTATACCCGTTATAAAGTAGTTTTTGTATTTAATTTTTAAAACTATTAGAAAACGCACCTCTTTAGTTATAATCCCGCAAACTATAGTTAGCGTTGTCGCATACTTTGCTCATTTAGCCATAGATCATAGATGCCATAAGCTTTAGATATCGCGCGCTAAATCGCTGGAAAAGCTTCCAAGTTGTCTGAACATTGAATTATCGACCTTAGCGTATCGCAACATGACCCATATTTCCATACAAACCATGTCATGAATTCTTCTCGAAGCATAAAACATTATAATTAGTAAAAAAAAGGTAAGTATTTGCATAATAAAAGCTGCATAAGGTAGAGAGTATTAAAGCTATTTATAACAATTATCGGAATGAGTCAGATTACATGAACATTCGAAATAAATAAAAAATATCTTATATTTTTAACCAGCTTGTCATTCTCGTTTACAAACGACTTGATACGTTTAACTGCAAGTATAATTATCCCATATTAAAAAAATATTTTTAACAATATAAATGAAAAAAATATACAGCTGTTATCAAAAATTAGCTTTAAATGGATTTCTGAGATGGCAACATTAATATTTGAATGCCCATATAATTTTCGCATTCTATTTTGTAAGAGAAAATGCTTATTAAAATACGCATTATTTGTTTAACTAAATGAGCATAGTACGACTGTATGCTTGTTTGCATATTTAGAGCTAGTGATGTATGGAGTTCTCCCCCTCCTACACCGCACCCCCTACTATGTGATAATGTTTATGGACGAAACGAGCAAAAAACATAACAAATTTACAAAATAAAAAAAATGGAGTCATTAAAAGATTCTGAATATGGAACCGTTAGCAATAAAAAAGTCTCGCAGTGGAACGATTAACAATCCTTTTAATACCGACATCGCTAAAAATGATAGATGAAATCGCAAGACTTGATGAGGCGCCCTAGACTGACTTTAGGCGTCTGTAATTGATTTGTCGTTTTTAAGCGTCGCGTGTACATTCAAAGGGTTGGAAAAAAAATTACAAATATAACAGCCATTTTGCCAGTTTCGTCCGATCACGAGATTATTTTACTTATTGATTGATCGCTCCCTATTTAATGATTTTATTAAATACTTTAATTCATTCTTTTGTAAGGTTACGTTGAGAATGTCTCGAGATATATCCGATCTTGTGTGTATTTATTTATTGATGGTTGACTAATGGCCTGAACATTGTCTTGTGCAAAGCATGTCACGTACGAGACAACATCGATACGTGTATTTTATTTTAAATTTTTCATTTTTACTTCCTCCCGTAGACGCATAGTTATATATATATGTCACTTTTGTTGTTTCCGACTCAATAAAAGAAATAATCTCTTCCGAATCTCTCATATATAAACATTTAAAAAACCTTAATAAAAATGATACATTAAAAGCGAACATCTGTAAATGCAATTTAGTTAGACGCGTTCAAGCACTTGAGATCACAAAAATTGTGCACCTAATATTACTCATTACCAGTGACAATTATCGTTTTTTTTTCATTGACAATTTTCAAGGTCACAAGTGATTGGACAGTTAAAAAAGTTATATATACTTACCCCTTTAGATTTAGTGCCATCGAACATTATAGTGTGATCCGTTCAATGACATCCAAATTTTTTTTTTCTCCACCCTCGACCCCGGCCTGCTGCACGCCCCACCTCCATGTGAAATCGACGATGAAAATTAAACAATAACAAATAAACAAACAATAAACAAAACAACAATACATACACATTGTTACTGCATCGTGTAACTGTCGTGTTGACTGCATGATGTATAAAAACCGATATATAATATATATCACTGTCATAAATGTGTATGCCTGTTTATAATTTTCGAAAACTCGAACAAATATACATGATATATGTATATCGAATACGGGAATTGATGAGAGTAGAAGCTAAAAAGCAGCAGAAGAAGGAATCGCAGCGTAAGAGTCTTACCGGCGGTAAGTATATCCCCTTTGCTATGCCCTGCTTTATACTACCCTTTCTTGTACACTGAGGGCCAGAGTTAAATGCCTAACTTAATATTATATAATGTTGAGTATTTTCTGTGCTTTAGTCTGTAGCTTTAGCCTATTTTGTGGAATTGCAAACTTGTAATTATCTATTATTCTGTCCTTTAGTGTACTCTGAACAATTAGACTTATGACCGAAACCTTCGAATTTGTAGTAAATCACTAGATTTTTGAAATGCTGTAGAACTTGTTAATAATATTGTACTTGGTACACTTCTTAAAAACTAATCAAACTACTAACTTTCTTACTTTGATAACAATTAAAACACTGTGTTGAATAATCTCTAGTTTTTAGTTTTTTGCATTTGTAGTGTGTACACTGTAGATAACTTTTCTGGTGTAAGTAAATATATAATATGTAGGTATATCGGCAATATTTTCTTGTAAATATATTAAGCTTAGTTGTAGGTTAGTAAATTATAACTTTTTTAGTTCAGGTAATATGATTCTATAAAGTCACTGCAAAATTATTTTTGCACCAAGTTTTTTTTAATAAGAAATGAAATTGTGTAGGCTGTTATTTTGTCCTCATGTGTTTTCCTATTCATACTTGGCACGGGTGTGGTTAGAATGTTGTATTTAGTTAGTTTAATTAATGCATTTATGTTTTCTTGTGATTTAATTAAAATCACAAGAAAACATAAATGCATTAATGCCTAGTAATAATAAAAATTAAATAGTAGTCGGTTGGCGTACCTAAATACCTATTATGAAGTTTTTTTTTTAGTGTTCCTAACTTAAAATTGGAAAAGAATAGTTATTAAATGAAATCACCTTAGAACTATTAACAGTCTGTTTCATGAGTAAATACATTCTTGAAAATTTATATAAATATATTAAATTGAAGAAAGTTTAATTAATTAGTCAATCATAATTTTCTAACATTTCAAAATATTGCTTGTTAGCAAACACTATGCAAAGTTTATACATTAAAAAACCACGTTAATTATCAAATCTTAAAAAATAAGCAATTCCTTAGTTGTTTATTGCTGTGTTAATTTTCTTAGCATTTTTATCATTGGCAGCGTAAAGGGTTACTCTTGCTAGACAATTCTGGCATTTCTCGCCTATTCTTATCACTATACCAAAAACTGATAAAGAAATTCTGCTTTGCTACCATTTCGACTTTCATTCGTGCCTTTGATATGTTAAATAGATAAATGATAGCATATACTTTAGGCTACTTAAGTTGGTGTCTTTGATTATAATACACGCCTAGATAGAGCAATCAAAAAAAAACGACTCATATTACGCGCAATGTCAGATTGTTGAAATCAGTCAATGTGTGTGTTTGTAGCGACGAGCATATTTACCATAAGTAGTACATATTTTTGGGATGCTTCCGTGCAGTTTATACGGTATTTAGGCGTGTATATAATCAAAGTTTGGGATGAACTGGACATCACAATGACGAGAGAAGAACAGCCTTTAGTTTTCCGTCGGTTTTTCTTAATACGGTTTTCAATCTTGCTTAGAAGATGCGTAACCGTGGTTGAGAGAACCCTTGATGAGTTCTTTCATCGGATCTTCCAAGTAGTTTTCTTCTATGAGACTAATTAATATAAAGTGGAATAGATTGAAGTGTGACGTAACTATGGTTCAATATAGACAGATTGCATTTGAACTGAGTCAGTTGCATCGTAGATGCAAACTTCTAATAGTAGAATTGTATATCAATTGCAGAGGATTGCCGAGTCAGCTTGCAATAGGTTAGTTGACTCATAAAAATTTACTCCAACATCAGCATATTTATGTCCCCACTGCTGGGGTACCAGCCTTCCCTACGGATGGAATCGGGAGATTGGGCGTGACTCACCACGCGGGTTCCGTATGGATTGGTGGGTGCTAACGACTGCAGATGCAGCCGGACCAACGGCTTAACGTGCCCTCCAAAGTACGGAGGAGCTCGAGATGTAAATTTTTGGTCACCCATCCAATGACCGACCACTGCGAAAGTTGCTTAACTTCAATACCTCGAAAATTTTACTTAATGTTTAGTGGACCTCCGTGGCCGAGTGGTTTATACGCCAGGTTTCAAGGAGTCGCCAACTCGAGAGGTCCCGGGTTTCGAATCCCGATGGGGGCAGATGTTTGTGTGATGAATCCGAGAATTTGTACTTCAGTCATGGATGTTTAATTATGTATTTCTGTACAAATATACTTAGATATTTATAAGTATACGTATACTATCCGTTACCCTATTAATCCCATAACACCAGCCTACAGTGCTTACTTTGGGGTTATGCTAATTGGTGTATATAAGAAAATTAGTTAATTTTTAATTGATTTAGTTATTAGTATTACTAAAAGATTACGTCAAATCGAAAATATTTGTTTATATAGTTTACAGCTGACTCTCACTTTGAACGCAATCCGTTTACAACGAACCTAGAATCCGCGACAGAGCCTGATGAATCATTGCGATTCAAACTTTATGGCGTTGTGAAGATAGCAGCGAGCGCAACTACGCGCAGATACCTTAATTTCGACCCTCGCTAACTTCACAGTTGTCGTTAAGTTTGCATCATACTAAGAAGCCTCGAAAGATTTCAAAGCACGACCGACACCGGTTAGCGTAATTGCGTCGTAATATTCTTTTAGTATTTTCGGTCTGCCTGTATACCTACGTTCACGTCGCTTATGCACAGTCAGTCACATTTTGCAATTTATTACAAACATAGTATTGAGCTTATGATCTTTTATTCTGGTGATTTTGAATTTATGAATCAGAGGCGCCTGTTATCAAATAAATACAAATCATAATATGTGACCAATCGGTGTTGGTGGTGTTCCGAAATATAACTAAAAATCTTCCTTCAAGCTGAGATGAATCTTACGCGATATGCAGAACGTTATTCGCTCGAGGCGATACAATTAGCTAATTAGTTTGGATGTTTTCAAATTGACGCGAATAGTCTAAAAATGCTTTGGATCAAAACAGATGGCGCTTTGGCAGTTTGGCCCATAACAAACAACCTGTCACTGTAAGGACATTCTCAACCTACGCTCTGAATGCATCGCCCTGACGTTTGAATTTAACATAAAATGTATGAAACATGTAAAATTTGACATTTGTTGCACCTGGAGCGTAGGTTTGGAACGCAGCCCAATTCTATCGGAATTTTTTCGACACCTGCGCCTCTGGCGGGATAAATTGGCAGTTTTCCTCCGCATTATTCGAAATTCCATCCAAATTATAACCTGAAAAAGTAAAAAAAATATTGAAATTAGTTTTACCCTTGTATAAGTGTCATAAATAAGATAACCACTGCACCTTTATCTGTGTATACGCAAAAGATAAAAAAAAACGCACACAAAACAAATGTCTCGAATCGCGCGGGATTCGTCTCAGTTTGCACGAACCCTAATCTCGAGATTCGGCTGACTTTTCACATCGTCCTTACCACACTAGGGGAGGATGACGCAGGCAACAGCCACTTAGCAGGGGGTGCGGTAGGAACGGGGGGTGCCAACCACGCCCGGTCTGACAACCACGTGGCGCCGCCTGCCGACAAGCCAGCCCCTGACGCACATCACAAGAAGGAGAAATCTGTGCTGCAGGCCAAACTCACCAAGCTGGCTATTCAGGTGAGTAATATACTCTGAAATAGGCTTACACAGTCAAACTACTCTCTGAAATAGGCGGAGATACAAACGTAATTTAACAAACATCATAAAATAAACCACCACCCATCACAAGAAGAAGAAGTCTGTACTGTAAGCCAAACTTACCAAGCTGGCTATTCAGGTAATTAATATACTCTCACACAACCATACTTCACTCTGAAATAGGCTTAGACAGTCAAACTACACTCTGAAATGAGCGGAGACACTAACGTAATTTGACAAACATCACAAACATAAACGATCACTTATCACAAGAAGGAGAAATCTGTACTACAGGCCAAACTCACCAAGCTGGCTATTCAGGTGAGTAATATACTCTGAAATAGGCTTAGACAGTCGAACTACACTTTGAAATAGGCGGAGACACTAACGTCATTTAACAAACATCATAAACATAAACCATCACACATCACAAGAAGAAGAAATCCCTACTGTAGGCCAAACTCACCAAGCTGGCGATTCAGGTAAGTAATATACTCTCACACAACCATACTTCACTCTGAAATAGGCTTAGACAGTCAAACTACACTCTGAAATAGGCGGAGACACTAACGTAATTTGACAAACATCCCAAACATAAACGATCACTTATCACAAGAAGGAGAAATCTGTACTGCAGGCCAAACTCACCAAGCTGGCTATTCAGGTGAGTAATATACTCTGAAATAGGCTTAGACAGTCGAACTACACTTTGAAATAGGCGGAGACACTAACGGAATTTAACTAACATCATAAACATAAACTATCACACATCACAAGAAGAAGAATCCCTACTGTAGGCCAAACTCACCAAGCTGGCGATTCAGGTAAGTAATATACTCTCACACAAACAAACCTCACTCTGAAATAGGCTTAGACAGTCAAACTACACTCTAAAATAGGCGGAGACACTAACATAACCTGACAAACATCATAAACATAAACCATCACACATCACAAGGAGGAGAAATCCGTACTGCAGCCTAACTCACCAAGCTGGTCATTCAGTTAAGTAATGTACTCTCACACAACCAAACTTCACTCTGAAATAGGCTTAGACAGTCAAACTACACTCTGAAATTAGCGGAGACAGTCACACTACATTCTGAAATAGGCGTAGACACTGACCTGATAAACGTCACAAACAATACAAGAAGCAAAAGTCCGTACTGCAAGCCAAGCTGTAGCTTACTGTGGCCACCTATTAACATGAAAGATTTAGTGACTCATTCCTTTGTCGAACTACACGCAAATAGAATGCTTTGCTCGCTTACGTGTACACTCCCTTCTACAATCCGAGGCCCATAAAAATGCGTAAAAATGGCCATAGAGGTCAGAATTACACTCTCACACATCCATAGACATTCATACTCCGGCTTTGATCTACTTACCTAAACCATAGTAACCATGTTCCCTATGGACGGAATAGGAAAAATGGATTGGTGGGTGCTAACAACTGCAGCTAAGACAACGATTTAACGACCCTCCCGAAGAACTTGTATCCGTATATGTTGTTTTTTGAATGGAAAATATTTGAATGATCACCAAAAATAGTAAGGATCGTATAAATAGATCGTTCTCTACTCTTGAAAGCGATCTTGAGATGCTGTTTTGTATGAAAATTGTACCTGAAGATTGTAATCTCAGAGTTGAGAGTGATCTATTATTAATACGGTCACCAAAAATAGTACAATCGGTAAAATTTAATTAGCAATTGTATTTACTTGGAAATTATTTACTCGATTTTTATTTGTGCTCGTTTACGTTACGTTATTCTTAATTTGTGATTTGTTTTATAGATAGGGTACGCGGGCTCAACGATAGCGGTGCTAACAGTGATAATACTGGTGATAAACTTCTGCATACGCACGTTCGTTGTGGAAGGGAAGCCATGGAAGGCGGTCTACATCAACAATCTGGTGAAACATCTCATCATCGGTGTCACCGTGCTAGTGGTGGCTGTGCCTGAGGGATTGCCGCTGGCTGTCACTCTCTCTCTCGCTTACTCCGTCAAGGTGAGAGTGGGACAGATGTACTCGACAATAGGGTATTTGACAAGTTTTAGAAATCGATCTTACGATATTTACTAATGTGTATAGAGTCAACAAAAAGGATATTCATCATGCTGTTGTGTTTTTCAGTTAAAAAAACTAAAACAAAAATTAGATTTTCAAGTTGCCGCGAAAACGATTCTCTGGCCATTATGGCGTGTCACTAGTATGTGACGTCACACGACTGCCATTAAAACGTCAAACGATACAATGTAATGTCACTTTGTCCGGAAGTTTACTAGCGTTTGACGTCATTTTAGTCCTTGCCAATCCCATGCGTTTTCGGTTATGCAATGCAACAAAAAAAAAATTTAATGATGTCTTAGAAATATTTATTTTATTAATGTTTTTTTTAATAGTAAAATCACTGCTAACTTTCACATTTAAGGCAGATGCATACAATTGGTACTTTGTTTTTCACCCTGTCAAATAGCCTATTCCTTTCATATCACAATCGTAAGAAAATAGATTTTATCTGTCATATTGAAACTATTCATTTGCGTTTATGTATGAGATTGTGGAAAGAAATAAAGTCATTACAATTTATTTGACGTCTCTTGAGTAAGGCGGGTTTGCCCTCTTCTCAATACAAGTAAAATAATAAATATATAAAAATATAGATGTCACGTGACCGAAAACGGGTATTCGGTCAGATGATATGGGAAATGGCTCCACGCAAACGTAGTCTCGGGGTACCCGGGATACTAGTGTAGTATATAAAAGGAATAATTCATTAATGTTGTTTGTTTTCCACAGAAAATGATGAAAGACAACAATCTGGTGCGGCATTTGGACGCGTGCGAAACTATGGGCAACGCTACAGCTATATGTTCGGACAAGACAGGCACTCTGACAACCAATAGGATGACCGTCGTACAGTCCTACATATGCGAGAAATTATGCAAGGTAACCTAGTGATATATTGGTGTCAATTCTGACACGATTCTCTAAATCTAAACTTAAATTTGACAACAGTGTATCCTTGTCATTCTCTATACGGAATGAAAAGGAGAGATTGATGTTAAATTTAGTTTTAAGTTTAGAGAATAACGCCAGAATCGACACCATTGAGATATAGTGACATTATTTAATAACAATTAAACATGTACTGCGGCATGCTAAGGATGAACGACAAAAGAAACGAGTGTGCTTATGACCACACGACTGAAGTGAAACTTCTTTAACTCCATCTGTATGTTTATTTATACATATATATGTGTGTGTGTGTACAATACATGTATGTACATATACATATTTCATTTACTAGCTATAAGGGAAACAGAGAAAGAAAATGTGCGCGCGCACTGCTTTCTCTTGCTTATATCCCCCTATATTCAATTCCCGTTCGCCTCGCCCGAATACACTTTTCGTAACGCATTCGCCGGCTTACCCCCCAAGTCAAGCGTGTGTAAAGAAGTTTCACTTCAAAAATTGGTGAATGTAATAGAGAGAATTAAAGAAACTCAAAAACCCACTGTGTTGGTAAGTTATCAAAGAAACGAACCTGAGCGCCTAGATCCTGGGTTCAAATCCCAATAAGAAGATCGTCAGTGACGACATTAATAAACTGATGGTTTAGATGCTTATTAAACGACCGCATTGTATTGATAAATTTTGTTTATACTTTGCTAGGTTACGCCTAACTTCAGAGATATTCCGGCGGAAGTAGGCGAAACAATGGTAGAGGGGATGAGTCTGAACAGCGCCTTCACTTCCAGAATCATGGTGAGTGGAATAACCAATTTAATGCCGTACTCAGAAACATTAAATTCATGTTAGGGAACGTACCCATACAACCTGCCCCACTTTTTACCCCCTCCCCCTTCAGTATTGACATAGTAATTCGCAAATATGTTTTTAAATCCTTTTTCTGAGTGCATCAGAATTAAAAATAAATTATTTTAGCTCGTATTTGTCTTTATTAATATTCCGCTTGCTGCGAGACGCCAAGAACTATAATTACTAGTAAAAAAATATTATCAAGAAGAAATTTTCCCTAGTGGAAATAGATCACGTGACGAAAACCTAACTAGTAATATATAGGGTATAATCCGAAAAAATTCAGAGATACTCTATATACATAACCCAACAATCCCACGAAGTTTCATTAAAACATTCAATTTCACCCTATATAATGATGTCTAAACACCTAACTAAATGTTTATTTTATTTATTTATTTAATTTATAATACATCGGTGTACATAAATATCTCTCTTCCAGCCATCCCAAGACCCGGGCGGTCCTACAATGCAAGTCGGAAACAAGACAGAATGTTCCCTCCTCGGTTTTGTGTTAGCTTTGGGTCAGAGTTACGATGCCATTCGAGAGAGGCATCCGGAGGAGTCGTTCACGAGAGTGTACACTTTCAATTCTGTTCGCAAGAGCATGTCAACAGTGATACCTTATAAGGGAGGCTACCGGGTTTACACCAAGGGAGCTTCCGAGATTGTGCTCAAAAAGTAAGTGAAAAGTAATATGTACAGGCAATCCTCGACTTACGTTGTTTCGATTTACATCGTTTCAAGTTACGTCGAACAATGTTTTGACACTATTCCTGAAGCATACGACAATTGTTTCGATTTCCGGCATAGGAGAATTCACTTGTCGGAGGTCAACCCTTGAAGTTTACATGTAAACATGAAAAAATATGTCTCCACTTACGTCGTTTCGATTTACGTCGCGTATTTCGAGAACCTAACATGCTGTAAATACGAGGACTGCCTGTATATAGAAAAAATAAGTATACTATGGTGTCGATTCTGGCATAACGCTCTATACTTGAAATTAAATTTAAAATCATTCTCTTCTTTCATTTTGTATAGAGAATGACAAGGATACACTGTTGTTAAGTATAAGTTTAGAGAATCATGCCAGAATCATACATTTTTCTTATTTTTCAAAGCACACCAAACCTTTGCTATTTGAATGAATATAAAGCTTGATTTATTAACTTTCTCATTATTCCTGACGTTTTGGATCCCTCACAGGCACACCCTTACTCTATTCTTATACCTCTATAATGCCGCTACCTATAACTCGGACATATTTCACCCATATAACACTTGTAACAGCTTCATACCTATTTGGGAGTTGGGGCATCTTTTGATCTAAATTATTGCTTATTGCAAACCTCTGTCAGACTCTGAGTACTATCAAAAGTAAATCTAAGTCTTATACAATTCTTCTTGTCTATTTGTCACACAATTTACAACCTTTAGTGGTTTAGGGCAGAATCCATTTAAGAAATATTTCTTTAAGGCCAGCGGGTCTTAAACACATCTGTCTATATGTATTATTTAAATGGGGATTTTACGCATTCTCATTTAAATCTATAAAATTTGACATTTCATTTCTAATACGATTAGCTTCATTTGGTGTGTTTTGCATAAACTTGTCAATTTAAGATTTTAAAAATTAAAACTTATTTTATTTCTGAAATATGCAATCTCGTAATTTTACACTGTTCACGCCTTCTTAGTGTGATGGAATTTACTTTATGAAATAAACTCACATTGAATTTTGATGTATTTAATTATTAATAGAATTTTGATGTAAGCACAAGAGACGTATAAGATGTAATGAATGAACAGTAAAAATATCAAGTAACATTTATGAATACGGCGACATTGCTGCTACGAGTTTGGTAGGCGTTACCATAGACCCTCAGATTTTTGTTTACACCAGTATTGATATAACTCGTGTCATTAAAGAAAGGAATCGAAAATGCCGGCGGAAGACATTTTTTCTCTCTCGCACGTTAATTTAGATAGCATGTTCGATAGGGACAGAATATCCTACGTCGTCATTTGCGATTCCTTTCTTTAATGATACGAGTTATACGACTTCAGAGTTTGAGTGGTTTGTATGCCAGGTTTCAGGATGTCTCCTACTCGAGATATCCCGGGTTCGAATCCCGGTGGGGGCAGATGTTTGTTTGTGTGATGAATACGAGCATTTGTACTTCAGTCATGGATGTTTAGTATGTTATTCTATATGAATATACTTATTTACATGTATCAGTATATGTATTTTATCCGTTACCTTAGTATCCCATAACACCAGCCTACAGTGCTTACTTTGGGGATAGGCTAATTGGTGTGAGTGTTGGAAATATATTTTCTTTATTGTACTTATTTTATATTATTATACTACGCAGATGTGCGTTCATATACGGTCACGAGGGTCGTTTGGAAAAGTTCACACGCGACATGCAAGAACGATTAGTGCGGCAAGTCATCGAACCCATGGCCTGTGACGGTCTACGAACGCTGTCCATCGCCTTCAGAGACTTCGTGCCAGGCAAAGCGGACATTAATCAGGTAAGTACGGAGATTTGTTAGCAGTATTCCATCGAGTGTAAGGGCCTGCGCTGCGTTAAGCGGGAGCACGGAGCGGGTGTACACTGCGCGTGCAGTTTCATGTTATTGATATGTAACATCTTTCCTCTCGCTTTCGTGTAATTTGTAGGAGTGATTACGTTAAGTGGGACGAAAGTGCGTAACAGGAAGTTTGGGAAGCGCGCGCTATTTGATTTGATTCTAGAATATAATGTTTAAATGGCTTTTTCCTTTTGTAGCAGGTTTTATTTCTTTTTTTACTAATATAAGTGAGGTTTCAAATGTTACAGATCATACGCGACTACTCTAAGGCTCGCTCGTTTTTTTTCACAGAGCAGCGTTGTTTTTTCCCGCTTGATGCAGCGCACGCACCAATTGTGAACTTTTTTACGTACTAGTGGCGGCCAGTGACTTCGTCCGTGTCAACTTTAGTTTTTTTAGAATCCCTCAAGATCCTAACATTTTTCGGAATATTTATTAAGTGCTATGTCTCAATCGGACAATAAAGTATATTCAAATCCGTTTTTGGGTGATTGAGCTACAAACTTCCTTTCTTTTTAATTTATAATAATATTATAAATTCTTGAAATCATCCTCGAACCATCCTCAATCCTACTATATATTATTTAGTAGGATTACTTTGTGATTTAAATAATTTGGAAAAATCAATATAAAGGATAACGTAAATACATTTTGTATATATATATTATATTTCACCCTCCTCTAAATAGTTACATTTTTTAGAAGAAATGTGCTTTTCGAAAACTCCCTATATCTTCTTATCAAAATCTATTCACCGCTTTAGACGTGAAAACGGAAAAGAAAAACAATGTATTTTTGCATTTATAATATGAAAATCTTGAAAATTCTTGAAGCCGGTTAAATAATTTGCTTAAATAACACTCGCATACAATCTGTGCCTTTTTATATTTTTAAATAAACAGACAGTGGTAATAAACAATGCACACGCTAAATATTAGACGAAGAAAAAAACTTATTTTAATTAAAAGAATACCCTCGTTACTTAGTTATTTTATTAAGAAAAAAAAATCATTAATAATTTAGCTATGAATCCATTCCTACGCAACATTAAAACCCAAATTATTTTGTAGCTATAAAAGTTTCAAGGAATTCTGATCACAGATACATCTGTTCTATATTATAAGTCTGCGTCACAACATTGTTAGTCCTTAAAGACATTTGACAAGAGAAGAATCACTAACCCTGAAAATACAGTTTTTACTATTTTCTGGGTTAGGGGTCCATTTCTTGAGCTTTTTGTATGTATACCCCTTGACCTAAATAAACTAATAATACTTAAAATGTGAAATGTTGGGTTATGGGTAAATGATTATTATTATTATTTACATAAAGTTGAATTTTGCAGGTGCACATAGACAATGAACCGAATTGGGACGAAGAAGATAACATAGTGAACAACCTAACGTGCCTGTGTGTAGTCGGTATCGAGGATCCAGTCAGACCCGAGGTAAAAATAAGCGGCTATTGTTAAAAAATACTTATTGGCTACTTTTGCAGTCATAATTATGACTTTTTTAAGCATGTAACTGCTGTGTTTGTTTAAATCTAAAGCAAATATTACTAGAAAGAATTGGACATCGCCGGCAGGGCCGCGGTAGCATAATTGGTCAGTGTAAATATAGTATTTTGAGATTTCTCGGGAACCTAACATTTTTTCGGGATAAAAGTATCATGTATCTTAATTCAGGTAATAAACTATATGTAGGCCAAATTTCATCCAAATCCGTTCAGTAGTTTTTGCGTGATTGAGTAACAAACATACAAGCTTTTGTATTTACAATATTAATAGAATATGAGTTTGTTTCTTAGGTTTTCACGCACATCGCTCATTAAATAAAACAGTTTGTAACGGGTTATATGCATTGAATTTATTTATTCATTGAAGTTTCTTTTTATTTACTTTGTCGAGCTACCTTCCTAGGATATGAGTTTTTGTGATCATGGAATTTTTTTCTTCAGGTACCAGAAGCGATCAGAAAGTGTCAGAAGGCGGGCATCACAGTCCGCATGGTGACCGGGGACAATGTGAACACTGCTCGATCCATAGCAATCAAATGTGGAATACTGAAACCGAACGACGACTTCCTCATATTGGAGGGCAAGGAGTTCAACAGGCGGATCCGGGACGCTAACGGAGAGGTGAGATATATACGGACAAAGTGTTTATATATACAGGTTGTCCCCAACGATACATAAGCAATAATATGGAATACGAACTAAGCTAGAAAGTGGTTCCACGATAACTGCGATCAAATGGGCGAGGCGATAAAACTAAGATCAGCACGCCGATCATGGGATTCATTGCGATTTTCGTTTAACATTATCTTACCCTATGAATGGATAGCCGAGTTCATTTGCAGATATTTGATTTGTGAAAGTATTTTGTTTTATCTGTGTGCGTGCCGCGTAGGTATTGAAGTTTAGTTGTATGAGTATGAAACCATGTTTTATTGGTCTTTGTTAGAGAATAATGCTTGCATATCATTTATAAATCGTTGGTTGTCCCTAGATAAAATGCAACACAGAAAAGGGGTGGAACTGTCTTATATCATTAAGCTTATAAACGTATCTATATAGCTTCCGTCCGCAAATTCGTTTTTAGATTTTTTTAGATTTTTTCATTGTTTTTGACTAAGGCTCCGTGGTCGCAAGGATTCGAAACTTAAAAAACAATGTGAAAACTCAACAATTACACTATCCAAAAACTCTTTTACCAATCAACCATTGACGACCACCTGTCTCCAGTGGTATGTACGCCGGTTTTCAAGGTGTCACCTATTTAGAGGTCCCGGATTCGAATCCCGGTGGGGCAAATGTTTGTGTGATGAACACGATCATTTGTACTTAAGTCATGGATGTTTATATGTATGTATTTCTAAATAAAAATATACCTTTATATATGTATTCTATCCGTAATAGTATTCCATAACACAAACCTTACAGTGCTTACTTTGGGGCTAGGCTAATTGGTGTGCGCGTAAGAAATATCTATTTATTTAATAATATGTTCGAAATTCACAACTTTTACAACTCTCGCAGGTTCAACAGCACCTATTGGACAAAGTATGGCCGAAGCTACGCGTTTTAGCCCGTTCGTCGCCCACAGACAAATATACTTTAGTGAAAGGAATGATTGAATCCAAAGCGTTTGACACACGCGAAGTAGTCGCTGTCACCGGAGATGGAACGAACGATGGTCCGGCGTTGAAGAAGGCAGACGTCGGCTTCGCTATGGTGAGATTTTGTACTTAATTTCTATTGGAATATGGTCGAAAATCGACTAATGGTGGTCGAAAATCGAATCTAGCTGGTCCGATTACTCTAGTTGGTAATCGGTGGTTAATAATTTTACATAAAAGAAAAATTATATGGTATTGCTATTGCTATTTATTTATTAGCAACACTAACATTGCGTTTATCATACATAGATATACATATTTTATATTGGTTGTTTACTTGTAAACACAACAATAGGGGTGATGACGGGGTACAGTAAACGAAATTCTATTTAGTCCGTCAGTTAGATGATCAAAAAATAATGAACACGTATTTTTCCTTTGGGCAATCAACCAAAAAATGACAAAGTTATAGCGCGTCAAAGTTTGGAAGTAATGCCTCGTGACGTCACTTTGAAGTGAAAATTGTACCAAAAGGTGACGTCATGCGACTTTTCAAATCAATATATCTCTGCAATGTTTATATTATCTGAAAAAAGAAAAAATACGTGTCCAACACTTTTTCATAATCTACTTGATAAACGAAGAACAAAAAATTAGTCATCATCCCTATTATAAGTGTTGATGTCATTCATAATAATGATCCACAAATATAATTTTAAGGATTGAATTTTAACTATTACATATCAAATGAAATGAAATTAATTGCAATTATTATATTAAACCAAACAATGCTCGATTAATAAATAAGAATTCTTCATTTAAATAATAATAACACTACACAAAAAGTATTTGCTATTATATATATATATATATATATATCATATTGCTAGAGTTTAGTTAGTATAAGGTTTAAAATCCACAGATCCAGACCGCCTTATAACAAAATGTTTAATGAAATTATACCTGATTCCAAAGCGATGCTGTCAATTTTCTTTGTTAAAAAGAAGACAGAGACAGCATTAGGTTTAAAGCATAACTAACTTTAGTCTGAGTTTTAATATAAGCGGGAGAAAGTTTAGTAGAAGCTCGATGGCTCATTCGGTTAGCGTGTTCGGCCTGCGATTGTGGAAGTTAAGCCAGTTTCGCAATGGCCGGTCATTGGATGGGTGACCAAAAAATATTATCTCTAGCTCAACTGTGCTTCGGAAGGCACTTTAAGCCGTTAGTCCCGGCTGCATCTGCAGTCGTTAGCACCCACGAAACCGCACTGGGCCCGCGTGGTGGGCTGTGGCCCAATCTCCTGATTGATTGTAACGATGATGACAATTATATAAATGACTGATTTTATAAATAGTAAGTACTTTGAATAGGCATATGGTAAATAAAATGCAATATAAGGATTGGCAAATCATTTATTTCAAACTGATTTCATTATAATTGATGACATATTACACACAACCAAGCTAAGGAACTATTTTTAGGTTTCACGGAAAATACGCCGATATTGCAATATTTTGTTTGACAAATAATACAAGAAAGTATTAAATAAAATTCAAAACGGTGAAATATCAGTGGTGCCTCTTTTAATAACTTTTCACAAGTTCTTAAGTGTATTTTGTTTGTTTATTTTTATTAATTATTTGATCAGAAACTGAACAAATGTTTATTTTTGTGCTATAAAATGTTGTAAGAGATATGTATTTTAATATGAGAACATAATAATAATATCATTATTTCTGTTCCTCTTACATTATACGTCACATGGTTCGTGAAATACTAGCATCCAGAAATTTAATTTTACGACCTCCGTGGTCGAGTAGTTCATACGCCGGGTTTCATGATATCGCCGACTCGAGAGGTCGGGTTCGAATACCGGTGGGGGCAGATGTTTTTTTGGTGAATACGAGCATTTGTACTCCAGTGATGGATGTTTAATATGTATTTCTAAATAAATATACTTATATATATATACAGTATATGTATTTTATCCGTTACCCTAGTACGCTTTACAGTGCTAACTTTGGGGCTAGGCTAATTGGTGTGAGTGTTTGAAATATTTATTTTTATTTATTTCCTTCAGGGTATCGCGGGTACGGACGTAGCCAAAGAAGCGTCCGACATCATCCTAACGGACGACAATTTCTCGTCGATAGTGAAAGCCGTAATGTGGGGCCGTAACGTTTACGATTCCATCGCCAAGTTCCTGCAGTTCCAGCTTACGGTCAACGTGGTTGCAGTAATAGTAGCTTTCATAGGCGCGTGTGCGATACAAGACAGTCCACTTAAGGTAAAATGCTCAATAATAACCCTTATTTTCATAGAAATTAGGTCCATTAACTATTGGATAAGATCCTGCAATTCTAGCTTAAAGTCAACGTTGTAGCAGTTTTAGTAGCTTTCATAGGCGCGTGTGCGATACAAGACAGTCCACTCAAGATAAAATGCACAATAATAACCCATATTTTCATAGCAATTCTGACCGTTAGTACCCGCGTGATGGGCCATGGCCCCATCCTCCTATTCCACTTATAAGGAAGGTGAGGACATTAATAGGCTGATATGAAATGAAAATAATACTAAATTCAAATTGACTTATTGCAACCTCTTTTAAATCGACCAATATTTTTTTTCCTTCCGCTCATTCAGGACATTTTTAAGCTGTTAAAAAGAATGGGAGCAATCAACTTACCAGCATTTCGCAGAAGTAGCAACATTTACATAAAATCGTGTCGCTACCAATACAATAATTATGTTATACAGTTACTGATGATGATGAGTTGACGACGGAAAAGCCCGCACCAGACTTACTCTAACACAAACCACGTTCCAACGAATAAATATATCTGTATTTATCAAAACAATGAATTTATTGTAAAGAATTTTTTCACTATTAAAATATACACTTAGCCTTTGGTTATATACAGTTGCCTAGATACCGTATTAACTACACGGAAGCGGCCCAAATATCTACCACATATGGTAGATACACTCATCGCTACACACGCACACATAGACTGCTTTCAAATAATCTGACAATAGAGTCACGCAGCATAGACATGAGCCTTTTTTTACGGGGTTTATTTGGATTTCTCTACCTAGGCGTGTATATAATCAAAACACTTAGTCCAGATTCGAGACAAGACTCTAGAGACCAAGATTATCTTTAGATTTAGGTATAAGTTTAATACTTAAAATAACAATACAAATGTATGATTTCTACACTCATAGGCGGTACAAATGTTATGGGTCAACCTTATAATGGACACTCTGGCGTCACTGGCGTTAGCGACGGAAATGCCCACACCAGACTTACTACAACGCAAGCCTTATGGCCGCACCAAGGCGCTCATTTCCCGTACCATGATGAAGAATATCCTAGGCCAGGCGTTGTACCAGCTGTTCATTATATTCTCGCTTCTTTTCGTCGGTAAGTGGAACTTTGATTTACCATATAGCATAGTAAATATTGTGGTTTAATACAAAAAAAATAACAATTAATGCCAGTATAATCATACAAAGACTTTTTTTTATTTGCGTATTATGTGTACTTATATTTATGTTTATTTTGTAACTTCCTTCCAACCGAGTCTTCTACAACTCTTACTTTTGCTATATACCCCGGCAAACTTCTTGAGCAACAACCATAGACAAGGAACCGTGCGCAGTAGCAATATTACATACAAAAACGTCTACTGCGCAAGTTTATTTGTCACGAAGTTTGCCGCTACCTTTATCAAACATCCCACTATAGTTTAATATATTATAAACGTACTACGTGATCAAATATCGCACTATAGTTGAATGTACTATAAACGCACCACGTGATCAAACATCCCACTATAGTTTAATGTATTATGGACGTACCACGTGATCAAACATCCCACTATAGTTCAATGTATTATAAACGTACCACGTGATCAAACATCCCACTATAGTTTAATGTATTATGGACGTACCACGTGATCAAACATCCCACTATAGTTTAATGTATTATGGACGTACCACGTGATCAAACATCCCACTATAGTTCAACGTATTATAAACGTACCACGTGATCAAACATCCCACTATAGTTTAATGTATTATAAACGTACCAGGTGATAAACTGCTCAACATACCGTCGGGTCGGGAGCAGCAGCTAGGCGCTGAGCCCACTCAGCACTTTACGATCATCTTCAATACGTTCGTGATGATGACGCTATTCAACGAAATCAACGCGCGCAAGATCCACGGCCAGAGGAATGTGTTCCAAGGGTTGTTCACCAATCCGATATTCTACTCCATATGGATCGGCACGGCGTTATCGCAGGTTTGGATTTATCTGATAATTTTGAATTTTGCCTTGTCACAAAGTTTGTAAGTGATCTCAGGACCAAAATTAAGTGACGACACTCCCATGAGGCTTATCTTTGTAATTTTTTGACTAATTGACAATACAAACAATAAGTGTACATTATTTTTTGATAATCTAACTGACGTACTTAATAGAATTCAATTTAGTTAACCTTTAAAAACCGTTAAAATTAATAATTTTAAGCATTTGACTGCTGGTGATTAAAATATAAACAAAATTTTACTAGAAAAAATTCCACGCGGGTCAAGCAGCAGACTTGACTCGCACCTGCACTTTCCACTATCCGGGCGGATTGCACTGACCAAATATGCTACCGCGACCTTAATGGCCGTGTCGAATTTCTTCTAGTATTCTAGTATTTTCATTTAATATTGGCGGCCGCCCGCGACTTCATAAGCGTGGAGTTATTTATTTGCATATACTTTTAGACCCCAAAAGGGCGTTTATTTCTAAAGATGCATTATTAGTACACCCCTACACCATCTATAGAGCATAAATGTTAAATTTTAAGTCTCTTACTTCAAAAACATAGGACTTTCATACAAACTTCCAACCGTATTACCCCCTTAGGGATGGAGTTTCGTGATAATATGAAACCTATATGTTGACCCGACTTCTTAATAGTATTCGTGCCAAATTTGAAGTAAATCCATGCAATACTTTTTGAGTTTATCCCGGACATACATACAGACAAACAGAGAAAAAATTATAAAAACTATATTTTTGGCTTCGGTATCGATTGTAGATTGACACCCAAAGTATTATTTTTAAAAAAATATTCAATGTACAGTTTTGACTTTCCTACCATTTTATTATATGTATATATTGTTTTATCCTCAATTTGTAGGTGGTAATAATCCAATTCGGCGGCATGGCGTTCAGCACGGCTGGCCTCACCATGGAGCAGTGGCTGTGGTGCCTATTCTTCGGCGCGGGCACGTTGGTCTGGGGACAACTCGTCACCTCCGTGCCTACGAGGAAGATACCCAAGAACCTCACGTCAGTATACCACTCATACCCATATACAGTGAAACCTGGTTAAGTGGGACCTGGATAAGTGAGAAACCTCTATTATTGAGAGTTGCAATGAGGTCCCGGTTCTTTTTCATTAAATTACCTCTGTCAATGGGACTTTTTGAACCTGGTTAAATGAGATTTGAATTCTAAGTCTTTCGATGTTTACCTCTATAATTGAGACTCTGTAGCTCAATTACCTGTATAAGTGAGACTAATTAATCAGGTTGTAATACATTTTGACATGTTTGTTTACATACATTTCGCGTCGTCTTTCGCGCAAGCTTTGTTTGTTAGTACTATATCAGGGTTTGACCTAAAAACAAGGGAATAACGGCACATTTCGACCTCTGTAAGCGGGGGCCTCTGTTAATGAGACAACTATAATTTTAAACCTGCTTAATTGGAAAACTGAATTATTGGATACCCTCAATAATTGGTACTTATGTCTTGGTCCCTTCAGATCCCAATTAACCAGGTTTGACTGTATATACATATATATGAAAAAAAGAATTTTGATGTGTAACATCTTTCCTCTCGCTTTCGTGCAATTTGTGGGAGTGATTACGTGAAGTGGGACGGAAGTGTGTAACAGGAAGTTTGTGAAGCGCGCGCTACGAAAACCGTACTATTCAAGCTACATTTGACAGGTGGAGGTCATTTGGCTTTCCAATCCTTATTTAAATCGCACTATAAGTAAGTTAAATCGTCTCGTATCTAGATGGGGCCGCGGGCAGCCGGAGGCGGAAGGGATGCAGCCAGGGCCGGACTACGACTCGGACCTCGACAAGAAGCCGCGCGCCGGACAGATCCTGTGGATCAGGGGCCTTACCCGTCTGCAGACGCAGGTATATTGACTAATTACCCGGATACATGGACGGGGAAGCGTGATGACGTATGGGGTAATAACGGGTGCGGTCTGGGTGTGCTCTTATGAAATTTGTTTGCTCAATAGAATTATATATATTTTATACTCTATACAATTTCCTTTGAGCCTAAAGGTAAACAAATAAACCAATGTTTCCGAAACTCTTTTATCAAGACTAACAATTGCTGGTGTAACTAGACTTATAACAAAATTTCATTTTTCAACGTAAATTGTTTGCTTCATCTCTATCTAATCTTTAATTTAGTAGTATTATAATTAGGGATGCAAAGTCTTTTGAAATATCGATATTATATCGATATTTATATCGAAGTCAGGAAAATATCGATATCCGATATATCGACCATTTTAACTCGATATTATCGATATATCGATATTTTTTTCTTTTTTTTTATTGACATTAGAATACGGGGTGAGTGTGACACATTCATATGTTTGTTGGCAAATTTCTCGCAAAATGCATTGAGCCAGCTTTTTCTTTAAACACGCTTGATGAAATCGCGCCAAGCAGGATTTTTTTTTGGCTCGCACGGTTTGTGTTTTAGCCACGACAGGAAACCAAAAAATTAAAATTATTATCCTGATCAGATCACTCACATTTGTTAGCACGAATGCGCCAACCCGCATATGTGGGACGACATTTGCGAATGCCTTCGCTAAGTTTTCACTACATTCGTGCTTTTCCAAACTATGTCGGTTTTTTAGCGCACATCAAATACGCAAATTGCTTAGTCTCCCACACATCAGGGACGCCCCTGATGCCTGAGCCCATGGCTTCAGAATAGGGTAAGCCCAAAGCTTCAAAAATTACTATACCTATCTTACTTTCTTGACTTGGTGAGCTTAAAAATTTACGATTTGTATAAGATTCTTAATTTTATTTTGTGTTATATTACTATGATATTTAATTTTAATTAATCAGTAGTTGACAATTATCTAAAAAGAGAGGCAAGGATTTTATTTAAGTGCAGGAGTTACCATTAGGTATACGATTATACCTATATACGTAGGTGTCGATTCTGGCATGATTATCTAAACTTAAAACTAAATTTAACATCAGTCTCACCTTGTCATTCTGTATAGAGAATGACAAGGATACACTGTTGTCAAATTTAATTTTAGGTTGAGAGAATCATGCCAGAATCCACACCAGTTTAGTATATTTCTTGGGGTTCAAAATTTTTTTAATGCATCAATAAGCTCTTGATTTCAAAGCAATAGTTATTTCGATATTATTCAATTTAGATAGTCATAGCAGGTAAATTAATTGATATTATTGTGTTTAAATTTAGTCTACGAAATATCGATATTTTGGAATTTCCGATATCGATATTATCGATATCAGTGAATTTTAAATATCGATATAAATATCGATATTTTGGTCTCGATATTATCGATATTATCGATATTCCGATATATCGTTGCAACCCTAATTATAATGCGTTCAAAGTTTGGGAATAGGTACAGTCTTAGGTCTTTTTATAGTCACTTTTTTTATTAATTATATAAAACTTATGAAAAGAAAAACTTTTTTAGGTTTTGTTTGCGTAGTGGCTCAAAAGAAATTAAATAGTATATAGTTAGTATAGTAATGAATAAAAATGCGATAAAAATAGCAATGCAAGGCTAACAACAAGTAACTAACACTATAGAAAGCTTAGGGAAGTAGTGAATTTTTTTATTGAATATTAGGTAGTATAGAAATAAGTCGCGCTCCGCACAGATCCGGTGTATCAGGGGCTTTGCCCGTCTGCAGAAGCAGGTATATTGACTATTAACTGGGATACATAGACGGGGAATCGTTATGGTTATGTTAAAATACAGGGGTAATGGCAGGACTGGATGTGCTTTTATCAAACCTGTTTTCTCACTAAAACTCAGGGCCGGATTTAGAGTTGTGGAGAGCCTGGGGAAACGAAGGGATTCCTAAATATAAATCGTTAAATTAATTTTTTTTTTCTTTAGTATTTAAAATATTTGTGGTTTAGGTATTTTATAATTAATTAGTTGTTTTATGATCAAAACAAAAATCTTGGGCGGTAGTATAGAAAGGAGTTGCGCGCCAGAGAGATCCTATTGATCTTACCGTACCTTACCCGCCTGCAGACGCAGGTATATTGATGACGGATCTAATAGGGATCAATACAAGGGTATCGTAATGGTGATATAGGGGGATGTGAACTTGGCGGACTGGAGAGGCTTTTATCCAATTCGTTTGCTCACGATACCTTATAATTTTTTTATTTATCTAATGTCGTTTATCAATAAAAAACGAACCATTGAAAGTAGTGAGAAATATTGAAACAAAATCTTTAAATGCAGTATAGGCTATTATGTAATAAGATTGGTAACGAAAACGCAACTTTATTGAGAAAAACATTAAGGTAATAGCCAAACAAAAACTATTGAATTAATTTTAGCATCATTATTAAGTTGGTAAAAAAAAACCTTAGTATGATAGTAATTTAGTAAAAATCTGCCTAATTAATGTGAAAATAAAATAAACGAAAATGAAAAACATGATACGATTTAGTTATTTGAGCTATTAAATAAATTTATGTTGTTCTAAAAAGCCACCAATGGTAATAAATAGATATTAAAATTTGTTAAATTTTACCTTTGGACTAAGATCAGACATTCCAAACAATGGCTTTAACATTTAGACATAAGATATTCATATTGATGTCATACTAAATATTTGTTCTCAAAACATTTTTTGCGATTAAAATGTGTAATATAATTTTATTTAAGAAAATATAATTACGTATAAATAAGTTTAATAAGAGCAGACCCAGCCACTTTTTTTTTATTTTGGGAAACGGATGAATAAGTTTAAAGCAATAAGTTAAAAAACAATCAACATTACGATTTATTTTTAAAAATCCTTTTATTGCTTTATAAATTTCTTCATCCAGGGGGTTTTCTCGTACGTTTAGCAATGTTCGAAGTCTGTTTTACCATTTGGGAAGCGTTGAAATGGTAAGGAGCGCTTCTCAAACGTTAAGCAGGTTGGGTTTATGCAATTTCATGAATGGCGATATTTTTTTTCAGTACAATAAAAACAGAAAGAGAATGTTAGTTTTTCATGAAATCGTGTGACGTGGACGCTTGTTGGGGGCTATTTTGTATTCCTTTATTATTGAATAACGGAGCGGGAAATAAATGCAATATACTTTAACTCGTTTGTAAACAAAAGTCGCAGTTATTTGTTGTTAAAAATAAAAGATGTAATGCAGCATTACACTCGGCTATTCGTATTTGCTATTTGTAAACTTGACAACAGTCTGTCCTTATCATGCTTTGTAAGATATGAAAAGGACAGATTGCTGTCAAGTTTACAAATAGCAAACACGGATAGCTAACTGAAGTGCCGGCATAAATTGATCAACGACTTTTGTTTGCATCGAATTACGTTGGCAACTGTCGTACGTACAAAATGTTTTTCTACTTAAAATTATCTGTAATATATGTGGCCTTGTATTGGCAGCTGTCAACATTATAATGTTATATTTGACATTGTGATATGTCCCTGCAAATGAGGCTGACTATTCACGGTGTCAAACTATGATACTTGTAAGGGATACAGTATCTCTTTGTTACCGTAGAGGCTGTGATATTAATAAAAAAAAACACTTCAAAAAGCCTTTTACCGTAACAATAACAAATAAAATTCAAAATAATTTTAAATAAAAAATAAAGATATAAATAAAATTTTCAAAAGAAAAGAAAGAAATGAATATAGGAGTGGCAGTTCGTGTTTACGAATGAGGGATAAGTTTTGAGTTTACAGCTGACATAGTTAAGATTAAACAGCAATACCACGTGATCAACACTTCGGATACCTTGGGCATCCTGACGCTAAGTTATTTACCGACTATATTGTCCATTTATATATTATATGATATACTTTTTTACCTATTTTTGCATACAAAACGATTAACCACCATATTTTTTCCAATATACTATGCATCCATTGTTACAATAGAATAATGTTTATCGCAATAGAACAGTTATATAGTTTACGCTGATTCATCTTATTGTTGTACACCATAATTATTATGTTTTATCCGTTCGGTAAGCCGGCTCACTCGAACTTGTTAAAATGTTGAATTAAATTTTTTAAATCACACAAAATTAATCTCCGATAAATAAATTCAAACTTTCGATATAACTTTACGTTATCGTTTTTCATGAACAATGTTATTATTTAATTTTAGTTTTTATACTTTTTCCTAGTTTTATGTTTTTTATTTTCCACTTTTCGTTTTTTTATATTTTATTTTTCTTGCCTTGATTCTCGTTTCACTCTCCTGTACTTCTGTTCTGATTCGAAATAATATTATTTTATTTTTAATACCTACACAGAGAAACACTTTACATGAGTAATAGTAGATAATGCTAAATTGTTTTGGCCCATACTTAAAGTAGTTCAAAAACTGTTCGGTCACTAATTTTATTGCTGACATATATATTTCGAAATTCAAAATTGTTTCCTTGGCAGAGCAATCTCGAAATTGGCTACCGAGCAGCATTAGAAATTTATTTTCCAAAAGTAACAATTTCACATTTAATATATCTCTCTTGACAGCCTGGTTTCATGACATTTCAACTATTAGTGGTCTTTACTTTTCGTTTGAATCTTTACACTCGGACTTCGTTACTGTCTTATCTTATACTACATATGTATATGTATGTTTATATAAAGATATATATATGTGTTCGGTCTGTGTCATGAGATCGGGAGCCCCGTTAGTGTAGCGGCGCGCATGCAGCGCGGCATCTGTCGCTTCCCGGTTTGATTTCATTTTGGTTTTTATTTCAATTTCTAATGCCTAAGTTGACTGTACGCCCCCACCTATATTGGCATGCTCTATTTAGTAGGCTGTGACGATGTTACTTATCCCTCGTAAATTACCTTCAAACAGTTACTATGACTTACCGATAGAATTATAATAATTGTAG